CCCGTCTGACCACGCAAATTTCGCTACGCTCCTTTCATCCAACTAGGAGAGAAAGGAGGTATTTCTTGGGCGAGAAACAGGCCGATTTGAATTTAGCTTCAGAGGCGGGTCATTTTAGGCTTTGAGGATTCTTTTTCACATGCAAAGTCAATCTACGAACATGGGTACAGCCGCTTTACTTGCACAAGGGCCGGGGGGTCACAATGCACCAATAATTAAAGACCGGCAGGAGGACGGGATGTCTGGAAATTTTCGGCTTTCACAAATCGAAATGATAACGGGAATGGATTGATTGCCGGTAAAAACTTTGAACCTTTCCCGAAGCGTTCAAACAGTTACGGAAATTGATTTAGGGTATTATTAAGTAAATAATGTGACTTGAAAACTTGTGAAAAAGTCGGTTATAGAGCGATGCGTAAGTGATATATTCGTGAAGTGAGTGTCGTGGCAGTGTAGAACAGAGAAATAATGAAGGGAGTTGATTTAAAGGGTCGTAGTGAAGTGAAAGTGCAATGCAGTGTGGGTCTTAAATCTTGAACAAACATCAGTGCGAAGTTAGATTTAGAAGTTTTCTTTTTCTTAAGGTAAGTTTTGGTTTTATGAATAGATGGTTTTTTATATAATTACATTTTTATATTAATGTTATTTTATTATTCTTAATTGTTGTGTTTTATCAGTTGTTATTTATTATTTTCTATGATTCTTATTGTGCAACATGATTTTGGCGCAATAAGTAATTGCATAAGTTGATACAGAGCAACAGCTACCAAACGCTATCAAAAATCTTTCTGTTCCTTAACGCAAGAGGGAATTGCAATATTTAATTGTGTGACCTTTTCTTCGGGACATTGCCGCCACATCTCAGCTGTGTGTAAGAGGAGATGCAAAACTGAGTAGAAGAATTGTACGGTACGGTTGTGCGCAACTACGGCCATGTTTGTAAGAGAATAGGTCGGATTTCGGCAATCAAAAATTGACGTATATGGCCACGCTCACACTATCGAAACTCATTGTTTTGGTATTTTTTTAGATTCCTGGGTATCTAAATGAGCCTATCAATCCCGGGAAGACTAGCTTTAGGGGACTGAGACATTTGGGTAGAAATGTCTGCGGTCAGGGCACAGTTGCAGACAGAAGTTTTATTTAGCTGATCAATTTTTCGGTAGTCAATTGAACTTAAACATTATAACTGGATTCTAACTATATTTAACGTGTTAGAAGACGTAATTTTCGGTTTATATGACGGTTATGAATTATACCATCTTTTACGCTTTACGCATAAGTTTTTTTTCTGGTTTGAGTTTGAAATAAATCACTGAATTTCATTCTCTTCCCTTCGGGGATTTAACAATTGTCCTTACTCTGTCTTAGACTCAACTCTCGCATAACGGTTGATTTTTATCTCTCAATCTCAAAAGTGTGAGTTTACACTCAATTCATGGCTCGGTGAGTGAATATTTCTCTTATGTCAGAAAACATTCGACTAAATTACAAAATAACTGTAAGTATTTTTTTACTGTAACAATTATTTCGTGTAAAATAGTTTGAGAAAACATATTTTTTCTCTCTTAATTGCACTCATGTGAATTGGCCTTCGCACTATATTTAAGGTTCTAAGTTGATTTATAAAAAATTCTTTTTTTTAACTTTGCACATTGTTGATTCTGTTGATAAAATAAAGTTTTGGGGTATATTAAACCATCACACACATATGATACGGTAAAATGCTTTCGTTTCTTCGAAAACTTTATAATAATGCCAAAATATAAACGTTCTCTTGCCTTATTAAAAAACTTAGAAAGTTACTGATCAATATCTCCAAAATGGCATTCGTAAATCCTCTCCTGATCTTATACTATTTAAAACTGTATTAGAAAATATATTGGATGAGTGCGCAATGTGCATTTTTGGTAGTGCATTTTCCAGAAACTGTTTATGTGTCTATAATAATAATTAGTTGAGTCTGAATGTGGTACGTAAGTTCGAAAGTTATTTTACACTTATACAGTAATGTCGTAACTCCTTATTATTTGATTATAGTACGCTGATTTTCCTAGTAGCGTATACTGGGTCTAGAATTAGAAGGCTTACGACAGCAAACTATGCCTGATTTCGCATATAGATGCCATCATTTGTTGCTTCAGAACTATATAGCCCCACCATACTCAACAGCATGGCATTATTGGCTGAGGCTGCCATAGACCACTAGCAGTTTTTATTTCTGGAGGAATTTTATCTCCATCCCAGTATGAACTTCTAGGCTGTTCGGGTTCTAGCTGTCCAATTCGCCCAATATTTCTCGTTGATTACCTGTATTCTGTTCTAGTGCTCGTTTATTAATTCCTCTCAACTTCTCAATCATACTCGATCGATGGGCAGGAAAGGCAAAGACCTTCAGATGGGTGGCGAAGGTAAACGTATACGAGATTCTAAAGGATTTACTTTATAACTAAAATGGCAAATCAAAATTTAACTGTCGTTAAGATTTTTATTTTTCTTTATTTAGACCAACCTTCATAAAACATTCAATAATGACCATCTCGTGGTCTCTTTTCTTATTTATCAAGAAATAATTTTGTCATTGATTACCTTTTTTAATCACTTTCACTTTCAAGAAACTCCCGATATCTGATAACACAATCTTTCTTGTCCGTTTTTTTGGACATCACTCCGCACATCGAAAGCTAAAAGAAGATAAAGCGCAGAAGACATTTTGGTGGAGGGATAAAACTAATTAAATTGAAACAACCGTACAAAACTGTGAGATTTATTACCTTTTAAAATTTGGCGTATATTTATAACTCCTAATTTCTGACTCAATAATTTTCACTCGCCATGTGTTTAAAAACTATATTTATTTACTATTATTATTTGAACAGTGTTTTTATGTACAAACCAATTCTATAAATTAACTTACTCACATTTCATGGACTTAAATTCATGTAAGCTCCTCTGATGGATTCAATATGATTTTATTTCGCTCATTTCCTTCAATAATTCCACTATTTGGCAAGTGGTTGCGATATGTGTTTTAAAAATAGTGTCGCTATTACAAAAAATACATCTAATTTGAACGCCACACAAGCCAGCCACATTAACACAGGAGATGCATCTCAGCAAGCGGTATTCCTGGTAGTGAATTCCCGAAGCAGGTATTCCCCTGCGGGCAGTGGGTTCTCCAAGCAGGTGACGAGGCAATATACCCCTAGTAGCATCCTGCCGGCTCGGATGACGTGGGGCGAGAAAGCTTCAAGCCCGAGCGCCCGCCACCCCAACCCGCCATGCCCCCTGCTCCGCCCCAAACACCGCTCATGCCGCGCCTCAAACCACCGCGATAGGCCCGCCCCGCCGCCCCGCCGCCCCGCAACGCGCCCGCCCTGCCCGCGGCCCTCTCGGCCCGTCGCTGCGGTCAGCCGCCGGCCGGCTTCGCGCTAATTCGACGCCTGGTCGATTACCAACTTCACTATTCGCTCGATAACGTACGCAATCGCTCATTGTTTCGTTAACACAATCGAGTAATTTTTAATATACTCTCAGCCTTTCATTTACATTTGCGGCCATTTAATTAGCCGCCAAATCTGAATGAAGAATGTGAAACAAACTTTTGCCTAATGATCCATTAAGTCGAGGCAATAGTTGCGTACTTGCAGGGGCGGAGTGAGAGTCGGGCGGGGGGCGAGCGCGCCTAGCAACGCGCCAGTGCAACCAACGCACGAGGCGCATTGTGGGAGGGCTGGCGCCCTGGCAATTCAGGCGTCTTCAATAAGAGGACACGCGATTGAACGCGAACGCGCACAGTGCGACAATACAGAAGGAATGCTGCTTTTCGTTTGCCTGCAGATTACACGAAAAAATGCACTTGTCCGAGTCGTAATTTTGTGTCGAGAAGCATCAGATAAAATTCGACACTCCATGTTCTTCAAGAGATGTCGTGATTTTCCGTGTCAGTCGCCTGACGAATGAACGACGAATAAAAAACGAACTTGGTATAAATGAATTCTATGATGTCTTGTACGCGTGGCTCTTACATGTTGTTATAGAAAAGCATCTAAAAAGGGACATTTTGTTTCGCGCTTACAAGAAAATGCCTATAACTCAAGAATGATATTTGAATATTTATTGTGAGCACTTATAAACGCAGTTTTCGTGCAGCAAACTCTAAACGATTTCTTCTTGAATGGACGGCATTGAAAGTCCTAGAATCGCTGATATTAATCTCAACACTGTTTTTTCTCGGCTGCTTCAAATCGATATTAACATACACGTTAGAAAAATCTTAATAAAGCAAATATTTGTTAACCCAAAAAATGTGATAAAATTAACATGTCTCAAATTAAAAATCGGAACTTTTCTTTGTAACATTGAATTGACCTACTAATTTAATCACATTATAAGTAAATTTTCTATTATATTTTAGACCTCAAATTTTAAACTCTAATCAGTTCGAACCCACACCGGTATATACAATCTGGGAGAGGAAAAGATGAAATTCGAGAAATCGAATAACTTTGAACTATTCAATATTTTTCTGGTCTGTGTTTTTCCAGTAAAAAAGGTCCCAAAAACAAACTGGTTCATATTAAGGGTCGGGGAGGGGGAAAGTTCAGATATCACGTCAATGTCAGAACTTGGGGCAGTTTTCTAAGTAATAGGTTGGAGTCAAGTTTTCCACCAAAAGTCAACGAACGTTAGTAAACGAGGCAAAGCGCAGTGTTTATTCTCTCCGTGGCCTATCGGTTACATACGCTCGG